TATGTTATGTTATGTTATGTTATGTTATGTTATGTTATGTTATGTTATGGGTGCTTAGCCATTATATAGAGTAGCCAAGAGAGGCCAATGGTTGTTGTGTCATGGCCTGCAAACATGAAAGTGTCCACTTCAGCATGGAGGTCTTCATCCGATAGTCCGGTTCCATCTTCATACTAATAAACAGAGAAGAAGAATCAGCAAGGGCCACCTTCAATGAGCATTCATTTAAGGAAACATAAAATACAACGAGGTCATCATAAAATCAGATCAAAGACAAAAGTGTCATTTTTTTTCTTAAATTTATGATATTATTAGATTCAGATGCACAGATACTATTGGGATTTATTATTCCATGGTTTCAACAAAGACACATCAAAAGATCCTTTTGATTGAGTTAATGTATATTGTTTTAGTCTTTGAGTTGTCCAAATGCATGTTGACACAAACTGCTATCTTTATTTTGCTTTCTCTCTCCCTGTCCTATCTGAATAATACTACAAATACATCTGATTCATTTAGTGCTACTTTTGCAAGGAATTGTGGGATTTCACTACCCTACCTTCTATCTTCCTTTCTGTAATTGTAAATGATAATAAGATTTTTAAAATAAAAAAATGGTATACCTCAGAGACTCTTTAACCCACCCTGACTAAAAAAGTGCCATAGAATAGAAAAAGTGTTGGTACCGTGTTTCTCCAACAATACAGCCTCCACCAATAGGAAGGCCCAGTATGTTTTATTGGCATAAAATCAAATTAAGCCTCTCCCCCCAAATTTAGGCCTATTTTAAAACATGCAAAATAAGGGGGAAGGGTGGGGGGACTTGCTGTTTGGAGCTGCCGCTTCTGCATTTGGAGCTGCCTCTGCGTTTGGAGTGCTGCCACTGTTTGGAGTTGCCATGTCCGCACTTGGAGCTGCCACTGCATTTGGAGCTGCCGTTCCACGTTTGGAACGCTGCCGCTGTTTGGAGCACTGCTGCTGTTTGGAGCTGCCGCTTCCATGTTTGGAGCACTGCCGCTGTTTGGAGTTGCCATGTCTGTATTTGGAGCTGCCGCCATGTTTGGAGCTGCTGCTTCCGCGTTTGGAGTACTGCCGCTGTTTGGAGCACCACCGCCATTTGGAGCGCCGCCGCCACTCCAAACACAGCGGCAGCTCCAAACGCGGAAGTGGCAGCTCCAAACATGACGGCGGTGCTCCAAATGGCGGCGGCACTCCAAATGGCAGCGGCACTCCAAACACGGAAGCGGCAGATCCAAACGTGGCGACGGTGCTCCAAATGGCAGCGGCACTCCAAACACGGAAGCGGCAGCTCCAAACGTGGCGGCGGAATGGGCAGAAGGGAAAGCAACAGCAGCGGGTGCCAAAGGTCTTGGGTCTGCAGCAAAGGTGTTTGGTGGGAGTAGGGAGCTCTCTGCGCTTCGCCATGATCACCCGTTAGGAGCGGCTGGTGGCGAGGCTGCCTGGGGGGGGAATTAAGTCACCCCTGAAAAGACGGCCTAGCCGTTTTTTCGGGGCTCAAAAAAAAATAAGGCTACTTTTGCCTTATTTTGTGAGAAACACAGTAGAAGGAAAACCTTTTCTGTCCAATAGGCTGGGAATAAGACCAAGGCAACTGTCACAAGGGCATGTGTTTTAAAAAGGATAAAATGATTTTCTGACAAGATGGGCAGGACATGAAAATGAGTCTATAACCATTTGCTTTTTACCCTGGTTAGCAAATTTCCAGTGTTGCCTCATTAAAGGAAATGAGAATTATTTCTGTTTTCCCATTGCATCTGCATGGGAAAGTGTTATAAAAGGGAAAACAGGAAAGATTTCCTCTTTATAGCCTTGAACATTTTGTCCAATAATAGAAAAAAAACAAAAGTACCATGTAGACTTTGTTCCTCTTAAGTGCTGCAGTAACAGATCTGATGAAATTTCCCCTTCTCTGCAACTTTTAAGGAGAACATCAAATCCCTGATCTGGCAGCCCCATTTCTTCCACAATTTATTTGCACAAATGCTTTGAGTCAGCAATTATTTGATATAGAAAATTCCTATCCGGAATATAAAAACTGCAAGCTATTTAAAATATAGGTTGCTTTAGCTGTATTTTTCTCTAGTACTGTTGACTTTCTCATCTTTTTTTACAGGCATTGCAAATAAGCCACTGACAAAGATTGAAATTAATTGTTCCCAGTTTATTATAATACTTATTCCGATTTAACCAGTTTTTCATTAGCACATCAATTTTATGTCCAGGTTGTTCTACTTACTGTTGTAACAAAACAATATTTCATTTTGTATTGTAATAACTTTCATAATGGTGTGAGACAAGAGGCTGTTTAAAAAACTTCCTATAGTTTCTTACTTTGGCACAAAGAAGAATGTCCAAAAAATCCAAATGTCGCTTCTTTTTAATCTTTTCAAGCTCTCTTTCATTATGTAGTGATTTCTTTCTCTCTTCAATTACTTTTTCTATGAAGTAATACAAGATGAGTTAATGCCAGGAATGAGAAATTCACTGTGTTCCCCTCATTTTATTATTTTATCCCTTGACTTCAGAAAAAAGGGCTCTGAGAGATTAATTTGGTTTCTTTTATTAGAAATAAAACTTGCAATATACAAGCTAAGAACTATTCAGAATAAAATCAGTATACACTGAAATCCCTTATTAGGCTCCAAGTAAATTCAACAGCGGCTTTCTGATGCTAGTCAATTTTTACTGGTGATGAATAAAAGTTATTGTGTGTATAATCAGAAAACATTGCTTATATTATAATAAGCCTCATTGAAGTCTATGGGACTTGCTTCTAAGACGGCATGCGAAGGATAATGCTGTGAAATCAGTGAAAAATTAAAATATGCTGTTTTAAGCATTGTACTTAAAGGGACTATACAGGTCATTATACTATACAGGTCATTAACTTTTGAGTGAAGATTGAAGTGCTTTGCTGCCAAATAAAACAATGTTTTGAAAACCTTTCTACTTGTTATATAATAGCTCTTATATAGCAGCATTAGAGGAAAGAGTTTCACTCCAAGTGGTTTCAACATTTTGGCTTCCGATTAGTGAAACAGTCCACCAAGGATGACTTCAGGCTACAGCCACATCTCCTCCATCTTCAGATATCCTGGTAACCCAAGATACTCTCATAGTAATTTTAATTTAATTTTACCAAAGAACATGAAAGTTACCTGTATGATGATGTGCCAATTCACAAGCCTGTTTAAAACGCTGTCCTGATGGGGTAAATGAATATAGGAAATCACTGCGAAGTATAGTAGAGACAACTCTCTGAAATGACAGGAAAGTTAAGTCTGACACAGCTTGGACATAATAATCCAGGTCTCTGATGGAAGGAAAAAAAACATTTTTTTTACAAAAAATATATATGTGCTACACAAACATGATCAATACTCATGTTATTAGAATGTATTAGTATAAAAGTTTTAACCTGTCAGTTTGGCAATTGCTCTTTTGACTGAATGCACATTTCATGATGCTGTCAAGAGTCATTAAACTAATATGGTCAAACATCTCCAAAGACTTCATGGGCTCCTTTGCAATCAGCTTCTCCCATTTATCCTAGTGGGGAAAATAGAGATGGAACAGTGTCAGCTGTTTATAGGGTTCCCATGCCATACGCCATTTTGGTGAACTGCTGTCCAATGTATCATTGAGCTCAGCTCAGCTCAGCTTCATATAGCTACATAGATATGTCCATATTATTTACTTAGCAACAACATGGAAGAGATTTCCCATTCTCATTTTCTGGAATTGTTCTGGACTAGTTTATAGACTGTCCTTGACTTACAGCTACATTTGAGCCCAAAATTTATGTTGCTAAGTGAGACAGTGTTTACACAAGCTGTGCCCCATTTTATGACTTTTCTTGCCACAGTTGTTAAGTAAATGACTGAAGTTGCTAATAACACGGTTGTTAAGTGAATCTGGCTTCCCCATTGACTTTGCTTGGCACAAGGTCACAAAAGAGGATCACATAACCCTGGGACACAGCAACCATCATAAATATGAGTCAGTTGCCAAGCATTTTGATCACATGGCCATGGGGATGCTGCAGTGGTCATAAGTGTGAAAAACTGTCATGTCACTTTTTTCAGTGCCATTGTCACTTTGAACAGTCTCTAAAGGAACTGTTGTAAGTCAAGGACTACTTATACGCTACAGTTCTGGAAATTTTGATGTTTCACTATTCAAGAGGTAAGGATAACTAGAAATGGTCCTGCTCAGTTTACAATGGTCCCTTTTGCATCTGCTTGTATAACCTGGAAAAAAAAACCAACTTTCCTTACCAGCATAACTTTGGTGGAATCTGTAATTACTGCCACATAGGGCTTCAAAATATTATAGTGAAAAGCTGGTGTTAGTAACTGTGTGTGTGCTGACGCCATTTTGTGCCACCTAAGATAAGCAGTCCTTTTCCTAGAGGTACAAAAAGAAAAAGAATTAAATGGTAGTGGTGGTGATGATGATGATGATTTCAACTGCTCTGACTGAGCTAAGAGATTGTATGCACTCAGAATTAGATAGGCAGTTTATCCCATGCTTGAGACGTTTGAAAGCACCAAGACAGAGTCAATGTACCTGCAACGTTAGGCCCATTTTTCAAAATCCCATAAAACAAATCTCATCAGAAATGACAGCAGGGTTTTAAAAATGGGCCTGCATCGACCAGAATTGCTTCTTTTGATATATTTGTTTGACACAGTGATGGTCATATTTCAAGCACAGAGCTCAAGGGCTGTTGCATGTCATTTCAAGTTGTCTTAGAATTCTTGACATTTCTTTTATCTCTCTTTTGCTTATTCATCTGAAATGTAGGTAAATTTTACCTTTTCATCTCCCTGTAGCTTTTCATCCATTCTTTGAATGTTAGGGAAATCAGATAGTGAAGCTTTTGAATTGAAGAAACTGCTTTTATTCAAGACAATTCATAAAGACACTAAGCCCATGCAGTATGAGCCTATCTTTTATTTCTATGCAGCAGATTATATTAAGAATACTTACTCCATGGAAAATTGCATAGCCATACGAACGTATAGTTGGTTTTAAAATTACCTGGGTTGACTTTCATCCACAGCACTTTATGCTAATTAAAGAGGAAAGTGATTTTTAAAAAATTATCTCTTCTTCCCTCTGTATATATAAATATGAGGCAGCAGTGTGCTGCAGCTCCAAAAAGCCAACAAAATCCTAGGTTGCATTAACAGAAGGATAGAATCAAGATCACGTGAAGTGTTAATACCACTTTATAATGCTTCAGTAAGACCACACTTGGAATACTGAATCCAGTTTTGATTGCCGTAATATAAAAAAGATGTTGAGACTCTAAAAAGAGTGCAGAGAAGAGCAGCAAAAATGATTAGGGGACTGGAGGCTAAAACATATGATGAATGGTTGCAGGAATTGGTATGTCTAATTTAATGAAAAGAAGGACTAGGGATGACATGATGGCAGTGTTCCAATATCTAAGAGGCTGTCACAAAGAAGAGGAGGTCAACCTATTCTCCAAACCACCTGAAGGCAATGGATGGTGACTAATCAAGGAAATAATTAACTTATTTGGCATAGATAAAGTCCACATCAGCAGTGTTACGAACTAAGCAAACTCATTCATCAATAACCATACTAGTTTTACTTCAGCAGCAGGCTCGTAATCCTGCACTTCTGATTGGCCCGCGGATAAGCGAATCGTGATTGGCCGCCTCTGGCTGACCTGATTGGCTGACAGCGGGCCGTCTCTGATTGAACGCTTTTAGAGCGGTTAATTCAAGTTCATTGGTTGTTGTGACAGCAGCCAGCTCTATAAAAGAGCTGCTGCTGCCCAAGTTGTTGTTCTGTTCTGAAGTCACTATTAAAGAGTTGAGTCACTATCCGATGCCTCGTCTCCGTTATTGCGCCCACTCCTCCAGATCTAACAAGAAGTTTACTGCATTTTTCTTTATATGCTGTTGAGATTGTCATTTTATAATTTTGAGACCACAATTTTTGCCATTTCTCTAGATCAATCTCATATTCAAAATTCTTCCCCCAAGCAATCATAGTTCTTTAACTTGTTCTTCTTCTAGTTTAATTTCTAATAAATATCCATACAATTTTTTAAATCACCTTTTCATCAGTACCTGTCAAAATCTTATCTAAGTCAGTCAGTTTATCATAGAAACCTTCTGTTTTAGAATCTTTGTCATACCTTGAATGTGCATATGAAAACCAATTCATCTTTATACCTTGTTCCTCTAAGTTTTGCATAGATTTAGGTTCACCTTTTTCATTCAATATTTCACCATATCTAACTGTTTGTTCCTTTTTATATATTATAGGATAAGAAAATGCTTCAACAGTCGATAGCCAGACTGGAATTTTCAAATAACATTGCCTTTTAGTCTTCTCCCAGTTTAACCACAGAGACTCCTGTATATAATGTCTTCTAAAATATCCCTGTGTTTTAGTTCCTTTATACCATAGAAAAGCATGCCACCCCAACAACAGATCATGTCCTTCTAATGTCAACAATTTAGTATTTCTTAATGTTATCCATTCCTTTAACCCACATCAAATTTGTAGCTTGGTAATGCAACTCCCAATTAGGCAAACCAAATCCTCCTCTTATTCTGGCATCTTGCAGAAGTTTTAACTTTATTCTCGCTTTCCTACCTTGCCATATATATTTCAACACAATTTTATTTAAATCTTCAAAATAATCTTTTCCAAGCCTAACTGGAATTGTTTGGAACAAATATAAAATTCTGGGTAGTGTATTCATCTTGATTGTTGATATTCTCCCTATTAATGACAGTTGTAAATTTTCCCATTTCGCCAAATCTAGCGCTATCTGCTGCTTAAGTTTGATATAATTATTCTCTTTTAGTGTACTACATCTTGCTGTCAAATGTATCCCCGAGTACTTGATCTTATTCGTGACCTGAATTTTCAATAGATCCGCCAGTTCTTCCTTTTGTCTTGATAGCATATTCTTTGTCAAGATCTTTGTTTTATCTTTATTTATTTTCAAACCAGCCACCTTCCCATATACCTCTATCTTTTTATCAGTTTTGATGCTGTTTTTAGTGGGTCTTCTAAAATGAAAACCAGATCATCTGCGAATGCTTGCAACTTAAATTCTTCCTTTTTAATTTTCATCCCTTTTATATCCTTTTCTTCTCTAATATTTCTGTTTAACACTTCCAAAGTTAACACAAACAACAAAGGTGATAGTGGGCACCCTTGTCTTGTTTATTTTCTTATATCAATAGAGTCTGTCAGTTCTCCCTCTGTCATTACCTTTGCCGTTTGCTTATGATATATAGCTTCTATTGCTTGAATAAATTTTTTAGCAAAGCCCATCTGTTCCAGCTGTAAAAACATGAATCGCCAATTCACATTGTCAAATGCCTTCTGTGCATCTAAAAATATCAAAGCTATTTGTTTTTCAGGGTGTGCCTCGTAATATTCCAAAGTGTCCAAGATTACCCTCATATTGTCTTTAATTTGTCTCTTTGGCAGAAATCCATTTTGATCAGGATGGATAAAATTGTTCAAGTATTTTTTAAGTCTTTCTGCCAATATTGAAGCAAAAATTTTATAATCTGCGTTTAGTAAGGAAATAGGTCTATAGTTCTTGATTTGTAATGGATCAGCCTCCTCTTTTGGGACAAGTGTAAATCATTCTGACCATGATTTGGGTATTTTCTTCTTTAACATAACTTCATTCATAACTTCTAGCAATGGAAGGTTCAACGATTCTTATAGTGTTTTATAAAATTCTGCCGGAAGTCCATCTGGGCCTGGTGCCTTTCCATTGTTTTGCTTTTTAAGTGCTTCAGTTAACTCCATCATCGTTATATTGCTTTCTAACATTGTTTCAATCTCTTTAGGTATCTGGGGTAGATTAGCATTCTGTAAGTACTGTTAACTCTTTCCTCATCAATATTCTCTTGTGTGTATAGTTTCTCATACTAGTCTCGTATAATTTCCTTCTTCTCTTTACTACCATAGCAAACTTGGCCTTGGTCATCTATTAATTGCAATATTTTCCTTGATTCTTTCTCCTTTCTCAATTTATATGCTAACCATCTACCTGGTTTATTTGCATCTTCAAAATAGTTCTGTTTCGCACCTCTGATTTTCTGTGGTCGTTCTTCTTTTTCCATTAATCCCATTTTATGTTTAATTATATCCATTTTTAACTTAATGTCCTTTTTCTGTGGCATTTTCTGTAGCTCTTTTTCAAGTCCTTTATACTTATCCTCTAATGCCTTAAAGGCTAGTCTTTTCATGGTATTTCTTTTCCTTGTATAGTCTATTATCAAGCCTCTGGCATATGCCTTCATTGTATCCCATATGTTCTGCACTGATATATCTTCTTTTTTGTTTTCTCTAAAAAAGAAAGCCAGTTCTTTCTCCATCCACTGTATGAAGTCTTTTTCCTTTAATATAGTATTATTTAACGTCCATCTAGATCTTCTTCTTTATCCTTTCCATTTAATTGTCATTAGATTGTGATCTGCCCAAGTACTTGTTTTAATATTTATTTCTTTAATATTAGCTAACAATTCTGTTGACATCCATATCATATCTATTCTGGACCATGATAAATGTCTGTTTGAATAGAAGGTGTATTGTTTAGTCTTAGCATTTCTTTCTCTCCATGCATCTTTTAAATTTATTTCATCTATCATTTTAAAAAAAGATTTAGGGAGAGTCTTTCTGTTTTGCTTTGTTGTTTTCTGTGCTGTATAGTCCAGTTTATTATCTACAATTCCATTAAAATCTCCCATCATAACTATATTAGCATAGTCCAGTTCAATTATTTTCATATGTAACTTTCTATAAAATTCTTCTTGATTGTCATTCAGGATATAGATTGCAATCAGGAGTGTTTTCATATTATTGTCCATTATTTCCACCATTAGTAATCTTCCATCGTCATCAGTATAGATCAATTTCACTGGGATAATATCTTTAATGTATAAAACCACTCCTCTTTTCTTGCATTGTCAAACAAGTAAATATTTTCCCTAATTTTGGCTGTATCAGCAATTGTTCATGTTGCTTTTTAATATGTATTTCTTGTAGGCAGATTATATCAAATTTTAATTTCTCTAATTTATGGAAAGTTTTCCTTCTTTTAACAGCTGAGTTAAGTCCATTTATGTTAATTGTAATCAGTTTTTTCTCTTCCATGGTTATATTTTGTAGTTAGGTTTAGCAGCTCTTGTAGATCTTAGTTCACATTGTTCTTCACCTTTCACCTTCACCTTTTTAGTTCACCTTTCCACCTACTGCACCTTCTTCTTTTTCAGTCACTATTTGGCAGTCCTCTTAGAATTCAATTAGTGAGATTTCTTTTTCTGCCTCCTCCTCTTTCCCTCCAAAATATTCTGTATAAAATAATTCAACTTTCTCAATTGAGTCAAT